AGACGTTACGACACGTAGAGTCGTCAACTTTTTGAAGGCCATAGATAGGCCTAAATAAAATGTTTTTAATTGTATACCAGTTTAACGTTGAATATTATTTATGATTTGAACTTTATACACAAGTGCCAAAATACTATAATTCACCTACCTGTACAATTAATTTGTATTATTAGCAACAAAAGTGCTACCTTAACAGGGAGTTTTTCTGTTGGATAAGCAACAAACATTGTACAACAGGTGCACAACACAACTTAGCAAGGATCTTTTACCTACTAAGAAAAAGTAAAATTTTACTCCATAAATTAAACTAAATTATTGTTCACCTGGGATCATGGGCCATTTTCTACTCATATGCCTGTTATATTATTAATATAATATATTAATTAACAGCTTTTTTTTCTTTTTCATCAACAAACACAACATACTAAGTGTACCTTGTAACTAACATAGTAAAAGTTTAGAACATAAATTAAACCAACTTGTACTTCGTTAGGAATCATGAGCCATTCTCTGTCCATATGCCCATCATCTCATTAGAAAACTGTTACTTTCTATCACGTATTATACTCAACAGGATTTTAACTAGTTAAGGACATTTTTTTCTTTTCTACTATTAGGCTTTTCCACTGATTAACTGTAAAATCCCCGACTTTCAAACTTGAATAAGAGAAACATAAGCAAACAAGACAACAAAATGTATTTACCATAGAGATCAGGCTTGAAGATTTGGTACTGCTTTCTTTGCCTCCACTACTGTTGCTTGTAAAAGACTTTTTAAAACTGTTCAGTTTTGACACCATTTTTTTTGGATTGTGAGCTGGGCTACTTGTTGGAGCGTTATTCAGAAAAGGAGTGTTCTTAACATCTTCTGGTTCTGCTCGATCCGGGGGACAAAACTTGGCAGGATGTGTGCGAACATATTCATCGTATGCTTCAACTTCGGCACTCTTCAAATAATCTGTCCATTTTCCATATAAAAAACGAAGTTTTCTTTTTCTAAATAGTAAGAAGTTACACAACTTAACAACAGTGGAACCTAAAAAATATCTTCCTTAAGTTACATGTTCAAGATACAGTAGGAAAAAATATCTTCCTTAAGTTATATGTTCAAGATACAGTAGGAAAAAAATATCTTCCTTAAGTTATATGTTCAAGATACAGTAGGAAAAAAATATCTTCCTTAAGTTAAATGTTCAAGATACAGTAGGAAAAAATATCTTCCTTAAGTTATATGTTCAAGATACAGTAGGAAAAAAATATCTTCCTTAAGTTATATGTTCAAGATACGATAGGAAAAAATAAAAACGATAATTTAACTCTAGAACTCCCAAGGACTTTTTAAAGCACATTTTTCAAAATTATTTATGCATTAAATTGATTGTGATTCCATGTCTCTGTTGGTTTCAAGATTCCTAACATAACACCAGTCACAAAAAAAATGTAAACAAAGGTACCACCAATTACTGCTGGAGAACCTTAAGTATTTCACACAGAAAACTTCATGAGAGATTTCATCAATTTTTTGGCCATTTCTTTACAGTGCCGTAACAACTAAAAACTACTCGATATGATGCAATATAAGTGAAGAGTACAAAAACAAGTTAGTAATTTCAGGGTTAATTTATACAGGAAAACTTTCATGGTGTAGTATCTGATTTGGTGCTTATTTTAATAACAATGTATATCGCTTTTAAACTGCAAGTTGGACTTCTAAGATCACATTTATTTAACCCAGTTTAATAACTACATTATTGATAAAATAACATAATTGTATGTGTGACAGATAGCAACATATACCCAAATTGAAAACTGTCTCATTAATAAATTATTTAGTATTAAAAAAAAAGATTCTGTTACTTACCAGATTTAGGATTAAACATTAAAATATCATCAATATCATGCGTATTAATAAAACACTACTGCACACAAACTACAACTGTATAATAGCTTAAAATTCAACATACTAATGATTTGGTAATGAAATTTTTCTTCTTAAATGTGTGTAAACATCATATATAAACCTTGTGTCAAGAATAAAGATGATACAAAAAGATAGTGAAAGGATTTATGTAGATATTTATGTGTGTAAGAATGATAATTTCTATTAAGTAATTTATTTGAACTATCACCACATTTTTTTTTAATGCACAACTTTCGGCTTAATTAACTAAGCCTTCTACAGGTGCGAGACGTTTTCACACCTGTTGAAGGCTCAGGTAATTGAGCCGAAAGTGTTGCATTAAAAAATGTGGTGATAGTCCAAATAAATTACTTACTACAGATACGAGTACTCTTGTTAAAAGCCTGAAATGGTAATTTCTGTTTATACTAAAATTACCATTTCAGGCTTTTAAAAAGCTTATGAAATTAGAATTTCAATATTGGATTTTACTTAATTGTCATAACTTGCATGTGATTAAACTTTAGGCTTACAAACATTAAGTTAATAACAACATGTTCAAAATGGCATTAAGAAACTTTAGAAATTTATGTCACACAAGTATTTCCATAATAAAGAATTTTGAAGTAATATGATTTGTTAATATCATAATAAGAAATTTTCTCATTGCAAACACCTTTAAAAAGAAACAAAGAAGAATTTCTTATGAGGTATGAAAATATGTCACCAAGTTAATGATTGTTAAGAGGGCGTACTGTAATTTAAGATTCAAATGGATCATCCAAAGAAAACACATCTCCTCAGTGAAAACTAAGTTCTATTTAAACACAATTAAGGAACTGCTATCAGAAAAATTATTATATCTGTTACAGCGTATTAAGATGTGCAAGCTGTAGTATCATCTATTAGCTCTCTTGCTACAAGTTCATTGTTGTTGTTGTTGGGTTTGAAGTTAAGTAAAAAGCTACACAATGGGCTATCTGTACTCTGCTCACCATGGGTATCGAAACCCGGTTTCTAGCGTTGTAAGTCTGCAGACATACCGCTGTGCCACTGGGGATGCCGAGTTCATGACCCCAAATTGACCATTATAGTTTCCGTACAATAGCTTCTAAAATGTTTTGTGTATCTTCACTAAATTTCACAAGTTTTCTGTAATCATTAAGAGTCTTTTGCAGACAAAGGATCAGAAATTTTAATGAATTAGTTTCACTAAAACTTTCTCCACAAATATATGGAGTCAAATTGTTGGCTGCTCTGAGCGTAAAGGGATTTTCACATTAAGAATAAAAATACTTTTCTTCATCTGAAAAAAACTCAAATTTTATTTGTGTAATTTCTAAAACCTCCTAAATAAATTTCAAATGTTATTTTTACAGTAAAACTTTATATTTTATCTATTATTTTCTCTACCTTAACTTTATATGAGGTTGGTCAAATTGATCAAAACGAATTTCAAAGTAAATCTAAATTAGTTTTTTTCCTTCTAGAATGACTTCAAATTGTAACATAAAACTACACTGTTTATCTTAAATATCTCTAAACTTGTTACAGTATACATCTGTTTCTATATAGATTTTATTGTTCTTTAGCCCTTTGGACTGTGTCTAACTGATATTCCTGCCACACAAGTTGTAAATAAATTGGCAAAGGTGTAACTCACGTTACCCTATCAAAGTACATAATATAGGGGCTACTCATGAGTACACCACATGAAAAAATTGTTATCATTATTATTATTATTCATTATTTCTGCTAATCCAACCTAAAAAGTCTAACTTTTAACATTTTAGTTACTTAACAATAATGATAAAAAAAATACACATAAAAAACAAGAAATATAGTACTCACCTGGGTCTTTTTTTTTGCTATTGACTGTCAATGAAACTTACCCTAATTTGTATACTAATGGTACTACTGCATTTTATAATTTATTTTTAATTGAATAAGGCACCAAAGAACACAAAATAATAATATGTAAAAAAAGCAAACAATTTCCTATAACTATCAAAATTTTTCTGGATTTCTAACTATGTGACAAGAGCCATTAAAAATTTCTTTTTGGAACACAGTTTGAACTAATAAATAATTCTCTGTACAGAAAACAACATAATACATAAATCGCTTTCTATTGGTTACAAAGAATACAGTATTAAATGTTAGAGATTAACAATTAACAATTTATGAAAGAGAGGATGTGGCAGGTGGGCATGGCAAGAGGGGGTCCAATTTTCTAGTTTATGTCTCTGTAACCAAATAAGATTGAAGGTTACAAAAATTATGCTTTGCCTGAGCAATGACAACATTATAATGAGTAATTTACATTAAAATTTGTACTTCTCGGTAGGGTGGTAAATAGATTAGAGAAGAGAGGATACCTAAAGAGCAAATTTCACAATTCTCATACAAGGGGAAATTGAGGAGTTTTTTATATTTCCTTATAAAGTTAAGAACATAAAACTTATATAATATTAAAATCTGAATTATTAGCTACATTTAGATGCCAACTAATAACATAGTAGTTTAATTAAATTTTTAATGTAACTCACTAAAATCTTGTGACATGTGCAGAAACAAAAACATTAGTAAATTTACAAAAGTATGGTATTATCCAACAAGGGTTTACTTACTGCCTGTTGTATATGAAACCATCTATCCGATGCAAGTCCTTACTAAACCAACCAGCTGGTTTGAAGTTCAGAACAGCACTAAGGCCTGTGTCATGTCCTATCAATTCTAACATACCGTACTACATTTGAAATAGAAAAATAAATCATTATTAATGCGACTATTACTGGTTATCTTTCTAAATTGATTATTTTTAAGGTCAAATATATGGCAAAGCTGAATTTAAGACCGATCTAAGATCTCATTAAGTTGTCTATTATGTCATTACATTTGTTTCTTAAACATATCGTTCACAAATACAACTCTGATAACTTAATAAAGACAATTCCTGTACTTCTATAATTATCTAGAACTGACAGTATCTCAGTAAACATTCTCTAAAAACCCATTGGAGAATTATAAACAAAATATATATATAATAAGAAATAGCTGTTTCAAATACTAAATCAAATTAAATGAACAATACCAGATTAATGTAGATTTCAAAATGATTTAAAATCATGAGTTTGCCAAAATGGGTGCTTTATACACCATGTTGCATGGAAAAAAATAATCTCTGAAAAAGCCACAACTGAAAACTATTTTTAGGGAGCAAGCAATTATTAGTAAAACATTAAACTTTTTAGTGTGAAGCAAAAATGAAATATATATTTCTAAAACTGCTTTCATTCTATTGTATTTTTTCCAAAGAGAAAAAAAAAAGTTTTGAAATTGATTTTTTCTAAATTTCCTTATATATTTACATTCTCTTTCACGTTTTAACTCAAGATATATTTTGAATGTAGGATGTTGAGGCACGTACCCTCACTTTTCAATGAGAGAGGAAATGTCCCCCTTACACTGCATCAGTATTAAAACATATTTCTCAGGAATTTACTCTAATTATTAGTTACAACTTACAACAACAAGTCTCCATTAGCAACCAGCAGAAACTACTAACAATCAACTGAATAACGTACCAATTTACAATGCACATTGAGCTTCACTGGATAGTCTCGGCATGAGATCAATGTGCCAATAATTTATAGCCATGAATGACCACTGCAGGAAAATACTTGGATCTTTTAAATAGTCATAAAAGGTATGCAATGTTTTATTGTATTTGTTTGTAACTTTTTTTTTATCTCAGATACTCTAACACTCAAGCCCCAGCTATAGAAAGGCCCCACACACTTTTAATACCAAAGCTGTACCACTGTTTCACCCATTTTCCATAATAATAATAACCTCAATAACTCAAACTGTACCTGCTCAAACCAGAGTTTCCCAACAATGATGTTATGGACACAACAGCTTACATTGGTCCAAGTATACGTTTCATTATGTCTACAGAAGAAAAACAAACTGTAAAACCTATTCTTTTCACGGCCACAAGTTTTTAGATTTATACAAAATCCATCATAAGGTATAACATATTACTCTTTACAATCTTCAAAGAAACCGTTTCTCACAAATGACTACTTTTTTTTCTATCAAATTAAAAGTACTTTATTATTAGCTTCTTTAACATTAGTTTCAGGCCTCAGCGAATCTTCTTTTGCATTTAATGAAAAAAAGTCAACAAAGAAATTGCCTGCAACATTTCAATACACTAATAATAGAAAACGATGTTTATTAAACTTACAACACTAGTTTTTTTTTACACCTCACACCAAATCACTTCAGACATGGGTTACAATTCTTTAGGTTTACATGTATTATAATAACACTAGTTTTGTTACAAGCTAACCCATTACTGAGAACTTCTGATTAAAAATATTCTAACTAAACAGATGTGGACTAAATTATTTCAATAGTACCTTATACATTAACAAAAAATAATACAGTATAACAAACTGACTACAATAAATCAGAACCCATAATATTTAGGATTTAGTATCCTAGTTGTCAATGATAATTCTGACGATAATACCCTATTAAAAGTTTGAAAATAAAATGCATTTTTTGTTTTACAAAGCTTGGTATTTTAGAACACTTTAGCTTGTAATACATCTACATACACACACACAGATATATATATACACACACACACAATTCCAAAGTTTAAGACTAATAAATACTTTTGATAAATAAATTCACTTTAAGAAACCTATTTTGTTACAAGATTTTTTATTTATTTTTACAAGTAAATATACATTTTTGACCAATGTGTCATTTTAAATTAACCTTGAAAATTTTTTTAGTCCTTACAAATTTGCCATGAAATTTTTTGTTGTTGTTATGAAATCAAAATTCTTGCTCAAGAACTTTTATCACAAGATAAAGCTTCTTTTTTACCTTAAAAGCTTGACAGTGAGCATGCCATCTGGTTTGATTTCTACAGATTTACCCCAGAACTTGAGTTTTGGATGGATGGATCCATGGAAAATAAAATGTGGAGAATCCGCATGGAAAGCACTGACTGGTGGGTGGTGACTAACCTGTTCACATACAACCCTAAAGCCAAAATCTTCCCTGTTCGAGAGAAAAAGAAAAGATTCAAGTCAGTTAATTTCATTTTAACATATCAGATGCACTGATCTATACTTGTATATTACTTTAGATAAATATCTTAGTCTGGTTTACTGTTATTATTTTATTTCAACAGATTTGTTTACATCATTTAACCACATATAGAATGGTTGACCTGCTTAGCTTTATGAGTATAACTATGGCTGGACTTTAGGCTTACTTATATAACAAAAAAAGTGTTCAGCTCAACACTCTCCCAATACATCTGGGTAAGGTCCATTTGAAATGTTATTCAAAACATTATTTTTTTTATATACATGGGTTTTTTGATTAATTTATTGCATAAAAAATACCACATGTTATTTTATTATTTTGCTACATATTAATACAAATTTGCTACACCTATCTTTATTAAGGTTACTCTGTAAGTATAACATAAAGTTAACATTAGATGTAGATAAGCATAAACAAACTTAGATTTTAGCAACATGTTTTGAGAAGTAAACAAAATTAATCACACTTAAGAGAGAGAGAGAAAGAAAAAAGAGACTTACCTGACTAATTCATAAGTTTCTCCAAGCAGAGGATTAAAAGGTTTTCCTAGTCTTTCCCAGTTAGAAGCTAGTGCAGAAACAGCAAAAGCTGCAACATACTAAAAGTTAAAAAAAAAAAAAAATTGTTCAACACATCTACTGGAATTACTGAGATTAAACCAAACAAACGCATTTTACACAACTAAAGTCTTTCATCTGTGTTTTGGGTTATTTTCATTTGTAATGAAAACTTCTTTTACTTGTTGAATACCATTTTGTATGCTACTGCATTTACCATTCCTTCACCACTGTATAATCCAGTTTTGTGTTATAATTTTAAATGGCAAAACAATGGAACCAACATGCCTAAGTAACAGTGATAAAAACCACACTAGACTGCAAGTGCTTTTTTATACATTCCTCTTAATTAGTATATTAGAGGTTTTAAATTAAAGGTATGTAAAACAGAATTTTCTATCTATTTCTTGTCTATATGCCAGTACCCAGAAAGCCTTCCTTTCTAGAACAAAATTCACCAACTGAACTGGTATGTGAGCAAACATAATTCTGTTCAAAAATATTATTTTATATACAAAGCAATAAATAAGCCTTCTGAAACATTATTAATAAAACAGACATTTGTTGCTGATGGCCCATTTAAGGCACATAATCACAAAACTTGATTCTCATAGTGATAAAAATAACACTAGACTGCGATTAGTTTTCTCCAGTTTCCTGTTGTAACATGTCTCTAAACTGAAATCTGTAATGAACTAATTAAAAGAAAAGTAAAAAAAAAACACCACAATTTATTATGATTTTCATCACTATTGTTAGGCCAGTTGGTCACTTTTATTCACCAGCTTTTGATGTTTAAAACTGTAACATTAAATGCTTTGTACGGCCAGCGCTGTCTCTCGTGAACATTTCATTTGGAGCCAAGAAAATATTACCAGCGATTTTCTTGTGATCATGATGATACATACAAGGTGGTTTTGTGGTATATTGAAGACTTAAAATAGGGGGATTGAGTTTTGAAGTTCTTTGAAATAATCTTTGATTTTATTATATTGTGATAGTACCTTATATATATTAGATGTACACAGAGCCAAGGTCTTCGGTGTTTCTGTGAATAGTCAGCATGCTGATAACGGAAACTTGGGTGAAGTATTACTTAAAATACCTACGGAAACAATTATCTATATATAACAAATTAATTTTTTTTCAAAGTACTGAAAAAAAAAACACAAATTTACATAAGATCCAAAAAGAAATTCTGTGGAAAAAACAAACAACTAGAATACCTTAATACAGATCATGAAGACACTTTTCTGAACAGTAATAGAAGTTTAGTTTGATAAACAATTTGTAATATGATTGGAAACAATTTTCATCTACATGCAACTTAAGTAGTGTATTATAATCACTGGTTTAAATATAATAAATCTTCCTTCACAAATATAGTGAGCTTATTTATTTCAGAGAGCATCTTATTCTTGGAGACGGTAATGTTGAATAGCATTAAGAGATACCATCATGTTTGAAAATGATTTATTTTTTAATAAGACTTTGCTGTTCTAAACAGTTTAAGTAGTTACACAAAAATAATACTCATTTCCATGAACATAACTTAAATGAAGTATAAACTTAAATATGGAAAACATAATTTGTTTTTAACTAGTAAAACTTAATTTCTGAGACATAACCATACTTGTGAATTTCCACCAGAGGATGCTATAGTATTTCTAGTATATTACCTGAATTCTATCTACTGGATCATCACATTCGTCAGCTTTCTGTAACAAAAAACTGTACTCCATGTATTCAGTGATTCGCTGGAGAAAGCTAAGTGGTTCATTAAACACTACAGGCATGGTAATCTTGGATAACTCCTACAAAAAATATAACATAACATTAAATTCATCTGATCACTTTCTATTTTACTGTAACAGACATGAAGTAAAGTAATACTCAAGTGATTGAAATAATAAAACTGAACAAAGAATTTGTGTTATAAAAAAATAAAGAGAAGGCCGAAAGAAGTCGAACAGCGTAGCATTTCATGTGAGTGTAGCAATGTCACAAAACTTAGATGTTTCACAAATTATGAAAAACTTTAATTAAAATATTAGACAGTCTATTTTGACTCTAACCCTTAATTACTACAGTGATGGTCTATATAGTTCTTTAATAGTTTTCTTAAAAATATCTCTGGAGTCTGAGGCCTCATCAAAAATCATTCTAGTAGTTAAGGGTTAATTATAAATGTATGTCATCACATCAACAGGGTAAGATGGTGAAATGTATTTGCTCATAAATGTGTATAACACAGCTTACCGGTTTTTTTCTTTCTTGTATTACTTATATCCTTCACAAAAAAAACTCTTAGCAATATGGCAAGTTAATTCTACAATATATTGGGGCTATGCAACAAAGTTAGTAATAAAGTATTTTCATACACTTTATCCAAACAATAGAGATTTACTTGAAAATTGGTTAAAAAAAAAACATGTAAGGAAAAACAGTCTAAAAAAAAATCCTGTAAGATAATAATTATCTTTATTGCAGAAAGTTTTGTTACCTTTCAAAGATTAGTTATAAATCCTGGTACTTTCTGTGACCTATAAACTATACCAAAATGTGTTGGAGATAAGCCTATCTCACATTAAACTATGTGAAATATCACAAAGCTTTACAAACTATAACTCGTGGATTTTTTAAAATGATATTTTAGATGTGCAAATATATACATATATAGACACACACTCAAAGTTATAAGAAAATTATAATCAGAAACAGCTACAATATAACCAACAAAATAAATGGAGTACCTTTGAAAAGTATAGCTCCTTCTTTAGGATTGAAATTATTTCAAAAAGCATTTTAATTATTCATTTTCTTTTTTAATTGCAATTCATCTAATTTTTGATGCTGCATCGTTGTTTAGGAAATCAAAATAACATACCCATTAGTCAAACTTACAAGGCATGATCACAAAAAATAAAAACAACAAAGAATTATTTATATTAAGCAACCAATACTGATTTTCAAAAATATAACTTGGAATAACTCCCTAGAATTTCTATTGCACTATATTACTGAATATTCCAATACTTATAATGTTTGGGCTGTTTAAAATTTGGCATAAAGCTACATGAGAGCTATCTGTGTAGCTGTCTATAATTTAGTAGTAATAGATTAGAGGGAAGGCAGCTGATCAGCACCACCCATCACAAACTCTTGGGCTACTCTTTTACCAATGAATGGTGGGATTGACCATCACATTATAATGCCCCCACAGCTGAAAAGGTAAGCATGTTCGGTGAACCTGTGACACGCAGATTGCGAGTCGAACACCTCAACTACCAGGCCATTTATATTGTACAGAACAGTACATGATACCTTACAGAAGCTTATCTAAACCTTTAAAACTTAAAAAGAAATGACAATTATCTTTACATACCTTTCCTATACAGTGTCTCAATATACTCCACAGACTGAAATCATTTCTAGAAAACATTGGAACTGGAAGACGACACCTATAAATAAGCATTTATAAATTACATAAACTTCACTGCTGAAGAGATATGTACACCAACTTTGTGATTAATCTACTTTAAACTGAAAAGAAGATGTATGGAGAAAATCTCAAAATAATCTAGCATGAAAAAAAAATTAGAACTTGTACTTTTTTTTATAGTATGACATACAGATCCGTGAGATAATCGTATGTTGCAGGTGAAACTACTTTCCAAACACACCTGAAGAAAGTTTCAAAGCAAAAAAACAGTTCAAAACATTCGCATTCAAACCGATTGTTTAACGCTCAATGTTAGTACTTTAAGCCTTATACAATCACAAAATGTTTAGTTATGCGAGTTTTAAATACTTTGAAGCTAATGTTAATATATTGAATCCTAAAAATGATCTGATCCAAATTTATAGATATTAAGAATTCCTCAACTGTTAAGTTCTATTAATCTACCTTTCATGTCTTCAAAATAGATATATTTAAAAATCTTACTTAACTATGTCTCCTGCACCTATGAATGGACAGGCTTAAAACAAGTGTGGAACAAGAATACACATTTTTAGGTAGCCAGTTTGACAATTCCACATAAACACTACTTCTGTTAGTCCATTAAAGGTGTTTCTAATTTGTTTAACTGTTTTTTCAAAGCAAAACTTGAATAAATTCTAAGTTCTAAGGCAGCAACAGTCTTTTTTCCACCAGTATGATGTCATATGACACAATTCGAAAAATTTGTGCTTCACAACTCTAATCAAACATAAGATAGTCAGTTGCCAGACTACTCTTACCATTGTACGTAATATTAATGAAGAAAATTAAAAGACATCTTGCAAAAGTGTACAATGCATATTCAAATTGTACATCCCTTAGTTTCAATGAAAATTGATTTGAGAAGAAAGCTTTTAATAAACTAAAACCTCATTCTGAGCTTTCTTCTTGATTCTGTTTCTTAGATGAGTATACTATGATGCAAGAGAAGTAAAAGTAACCTAACTGGAGATTCAGTGACATTGATGTCAGATAGATGGACTATGTGATAGAAGTTTTTTTTAATCAATTTATTATATGCAAAATTACAAAGCCAATTTTTCTCAAGGCCACTGAATCATAAAATGAAACTGAATATGAGTAAATCTTCAGCAATATTATAGACATGATCAGAGAAGACTTTTTATTTAAAAATAAATATTTATAGAAAATGAATAAAGTATTAATGTTTTTCCGAGTATTTGAATTGGGTTAATCAAATTACAGATTTCAAAACGTATCAAATGCTTATCACAATTCTAGAAGTTTGACAAAAATTGTAAACTTGTTAGTATTTATTTGTTCAGTCACTTTGGAAGGAATCTATGAATAGATCAAGTTGGAATAAACTTTTCCTCTGTACAAAATGGTTAGTAATTTAATGTTATCTCAATTCTTAAAAAGTAAAAAAAAAGATTTATTTCACATACATTTGTACTACAGTTGACATTATAATTTACTGAGTTACAGTTTCATCTTAAAAAAATAAAGCATATTATATACTTCAGTAAAGGTGACTTTAACTTGATAAAATTTCAAGATTATTTTTCACAATGGATAATGTTTTGATACAGTGTCATATTTTCATAAATACAGTCTTAAAATCATTTGTGTGTGTGTATATGTATAAATGTATATTATAATTTAAAAGTTATAAATTAGGTCTATAAGTGATCAAAATTAATTTACTGTGGCAAAATTAGGATATGACAATTACGACAAGTTATAACTAGCTTAATCGGTTTAGTAACAAAAATAACAGTCTCATCAGCATTGGAAATAAAACATTTAGCACTTTTAAAAGTATTTGTAATGCTTCAAATGACGTTCCTCAGTACAGATGTGATTAGTGAACACCATTTCTTAGCAGGCATCAAAAGCTGTTGATAAATGGTTATCGCACAATCACATTCGTTATCATTATAGGAGGAAGTGGGTGGGTTGAGGAAATAGAAAGAAATGTATTCATAATTAATATTTATTACTGGTGTTAATACTAAATGCAAGATGTTCCGGTTGACTGGATGAATTCAACTGGCTGCATACCTTAACTATATTAAAATCATTACTCAGGTGACATTAGACTATCGATTCGGAAGTCACATGCTACATTTGTAACAGTAATATTAGGTCTTTGTTCCTTATTACTATTAGCCTACTTAATTGCAAGCCTGTGGCTAGGCCTATCTTACTTATTACTATTAGCCTACTTAATTGCAAGCCTGTGGCTAGGCCTATCTTACTTATTACTATTAGCCTACTTAATTGCACGCCTGTGGCTAGGCCTATATTTCAACTTTTGATTTAAGTGTTTGTTGTTTTTAACTGAAGTGTTGGAAACTAAAATACTTTGTAACTTTGGCGTTTTTTTTTCTTTTTGTATTACTAATTACATGAAAAGCATTTAAAGTTAGATTCACCTGTAGCGTTTTTGATCAATTCTGTCGATAGTAGGCCTATGCCCTTCTCCAGCCATGTTTGCTCGCTGTAGGTTATCAGAAGTTTCAATTCAGTCAAGTAAAATTTTGATCTTTAGTTTAAATCTATCGCTGAGGTTGGAATCGTTATATCTTGTCACTGAATAATCCACGCCAATCTGTTCAAATTTAACGATACACTACTTCACTCTACTGAACCTTTACGTCAGAAATATTTCTGAATGTGATTTAAAACCTAAAGATAAGCGACGTTTCCGTACTGGCATGTATTATAAAAGTAAATTAATGATAAAAACAGTACACCCAAAGTTATAACACCAGTATTTCTCCATTATCTCAAACAATAATAATCTCGCCAGATGATTAGTTGGTGCAGAAATCATAACATATTTACATCTACACAAATTTGAACTGCTAATACAATTGTACAATTGCCCTCAAAACACGAAGTCTAACCTTAGAGAAAACAGTATTTTTTGTCGATTCAACAGCTAAACTTGTTAGCCCAGCAGATTCTGCTAATAAAAATATTCAGAATCTGTCATGATAAAGATCCATCAGTCCTCAGGTCAGATTCAAAATAAGTAAATTCGAGGCTAGTAGGATTTCATTCAATCAAAATATTTATATTTCAATGAACAGTTTTGTTTGCAGCATACCGTATTAATTTCATGGGTATATCACTAACTTTTAAAAAGTATGTCAACCTTCAGCTGCCCTTAATTTGACTTTAAATCTAATTTATACACATACTGGTGACTGAAAAGGATGCCCAAAAATTTTGAAATTTTAAGGTACGTTTTTAATTTTTTAAGAGTTTGAAAAACGTCTTCCTCACTCTTATGATACCAATTTTCAGCAGTCGAAACGCTGTCACACGCGGCACGAGCCAAGAACAACTGACGTAACTTCAACTGATATATCAATGAATGGCTGTTGGAACTAAAAAATCAGGGAAAGAACTTAAAAAACCGTACGGAAAAAGAAATTTTTCACAAAACGAGAATGAGCACAGATATCATTTTTTATGTAATGATAAACATTACGCTAAACAATTGGATAAAAATTTTATATACTGTAAGACAGGTCTTGTACGAAAAAACGGCCTTATATTTCCGACGTTTCAATTTACAGTGTCTTCAGAGATTCAGCCAGTTCAAAACACAACAATTAATACAAAAATGAAGCTGTTGTAAGGGGGGAATCCACTGTATGTATACTCAGAGCCATATTATGGGTGGAGCAGAAAGAGCAGCAGCACCAGAACCTCGACCACTTGGGGCCCCCAACGAAAAGGAATTTTGAAATTTTTATGCATTATAAGCACTTGTATTTATTTATCGCTATTATATTGCCCCAGGCCCTCATGTAACCTAAGTTCGCCCCCTGTGTATACTTTAAATAAAAGTCCAGAGAGACAGTGTTTTTAATGGATATTATATATATTTTATATTATGATCACTCCATAATATTTCATACGACGATAATGACTAAACGAATGTCGAAACATTGTGTCTCTGGACTTTTATATAGAGGTTGGAGCTCTTTGTAAAACGAACATCCTAACCATACTGTTATGACGTGTACGCCTTTTACAAGCTGGCGAAGAATGATTGCAATTATACTTGTTATAAGACACATGGGATTACATAATGAATGTAATGCTCAAAAATGTAATAGGCCTAATACCAATGTCTCATGACAAATATAATCGTAACCATTCTTCACCAGCTTGTAAATGGCATATACACTATCACAATTGTTGTTGTATCAAATGGCTTATAAAAATTGTGTTAGGCTTAAGACAAGTAGACTTGTAGATTTCGGTGTCTGCGATTAGAATTATTCTTGGAATTCTGTATTTAAAGAAGTACTCTAGCAAATGCTTTTACAGGCAGAGTTATGTATATATAACTGAGCAATGTTAAGAAGTATATTCTTTCTTTGAAACTGAAGATTTCTCAATTTCATTAGGTATTGTTTGTTTCAGTTGATCACACACAATAATGCACTTAAACCAAAGTCAACAAACCCTTGGATGAGAAACACTAACGATAAGTAATTTTAAGTATCCGTATGTAATGTTGGTTCATGGCAAAAATATACCATTTGACTAGTTAAATGTTTTACACTATCTTATAAACTACTAGCTGGGGTACCCGTCTCCTGGACAGAAG